AATAAATATTGATGAAGATTAAGAATTTTGCGTTTTATTTAAAATTTTCCGGAAACTTTTCGGTCACAATGTATTATTAAAGTTAATTGTTTATCCACTGCATCATAATATTCATTAATCGTCATGCGTTCTTGTCGTAGGACGCTCAGCTCATTTTCTAAGACATGCAGTGGACGCTTATCTGAATATGTTTGATCGAGCCTTGTTATTATTGCCTCAAAATTTAGTATCGTATTAAAGGCACTGAGGGCCGTATTTGCCGTACCTGCAATTTTATTTCTAAGAATCCCTATGGCCACATAATAGGATTCTGATCCTTCAGTGTAATAATTCATGGCGAAATGTGCCGCCTCTCTTCATGCAGGATATTCTGCTGGATTACCTTTAAAAATTTGCAAAGACTTTACTAAGTCTAAATTTGTGTGTAAATTTGCTACACCTTCTCTAATTGTAGCCGGCATGAGCGGCTCTATTGTTGTAGGTTGAAGTGACCGAATTGCATTTATCAGATTGCTAATCTGCCTAGAAAACTCTTCCCTAGATATTTCTATCGCGGCCTCTACCAAACTCATTACTTTATTCCTATCCATTATTAATTTTATTAATTTAAAAATAACGTCAACACTTTGCGTGCACTATCTTACAAAGTCTTACTGAATGTAACGTTATTTTAAATATTTTAATATCTATTTTATTATAATTTTATTAAAAAATTTTAATATTTTAATTTTTGGTTTAAGAATAAAATGAGATAGTCATGCGTTTCACTAAATCTGAGTTCTATTTCTCTGAAAGATTTCTGATCGTGAAGTTTGTTTTTCAAATCTTCAAATTTTAATCTAAATACCTTTATTTCTTCAAGTTTTTCTAATAAAAACTTACTAGTATAAATCCTATTTGGCGTTTTCTTAAAGTTAATCTTTATTTTATTTAAATTATGTAATAATTGGAGTACATCCTCCATTTATTTTTTTTTTACGATTTTCTATTCTTATTAATAAATACAATATAATGAATCCTACAATTACTACAGCTATTGCTGAAATTACTATATATATATGATACTCTTTTAAGAGTATAGATATGTTAGATCTACTATACATTTGATTTTTGAAATATGTAATATGCCATGTAATAAGATTTTTGAAATATAACATGAAATATAATATGATTTTTGAAATATAACAAAATATTTTTACAAACTTTTAATTAATTGATTTACATAATTAATCAATTTGCTGTGTTTAGTATCTAAATGTTTATTCAGGTTTCTATTCGTGTGGTAATTACCGCATATAAAACAAATAAACTGATTCATAATGGAAAGAAATTTTTATTTTCAAATATATATATATTTTCTATTTTTTTTTTTTTTTTTAAATATTTTATAATTAATTTGTAATCTAATTATGCAGATGTAGTAATGGCTCTGCTTATTTTTCTGTTTACATATGCTTTATAATAAATGTTTACTTTGTATAATAAAAATATTCCTAAGGCTATTGCACCGACAATAAGAAGGGATGTTTCAGTTACCACGAGTGCCGTCGTATTGTTATTGGTGACTTGTTGTTTTGAATTGCTGGAACCCATTGTCTTTAAGCTTCTTCAGTTGGTCTAGGTATTTATGTTGTATTTCCTGATTTCTGCTTACGTGTATTAGATAGTGTAATTCTTTGATCTTTGCCTTAAATGCCTTTTTTGCTCCTCCTCTCTTTGTTGCTTTTTTTATTAAAGGCTTTGGAGGTGTTGTCTTCTTGTTACGCTTTCTATATTCCTCTATAGATAGTGGTTTTGGCCCGATTGTTTTTATTAATGGGACATATATTGGTGCGTTGTTATTGGTACCTTTAGGTGTGTATTCCTCGACTTCTGGCTGGTCAGGTTGACTGTTTCGTTGAAAACTAATGGCTTGCTGCAGGCACTTGTTCCACATATGATGAAAATCGTTCATTTGCTTCTGTGGTTATTATGTTTCTATAACGCATATATTCTTTTTGGAATCTTTGAATTATTTTTGAATTTTTTAAAGACGACTTGAATCAATCAAACAAATCCTAATGACTGGGTAAAAAAAAAATTTTTTTTTTTTTTTTTTACTTCTACTTCTACTGGAATCTGAGTTGTGGTTTGTTTTAGCTTCTGAAGATCGCAGGATCTTAATTGGCCAGGATCGCCATGTAATAAGATTTGGTTTTATATGTTGTATTATAAATTTTTCCTAGCGCAGCGAGGCGCCTTTCTTGTTCGCAACGAGGCGAATAAAGCTATGTTGCAACTAGGCAACTTAAACAAATGATTAGTGAGACTCAATGTTCTGTTTGAATCTGAATTCTTTATTAACCTACCTGAATATTATGTTCGCCTAGTAATTTTCATATAAAAATGCTTAATATGCATTTCAATTAATTTAAAAATATGAATTTATTATTATTATTTAATAATTACCCAAAATACTAAATAATGAAATTCCAATGCAAGTTAATGCACTTTACGAATTTCATTTGCGCAAACAAAAGAATCAAATTACTTTTCTTTTGCGCTTCTTCACATGGCAAGTGTGTGATCAATGCCTTTGCTTTTGGCATGTGCCAGTAACGTATATCATCATATTACCATTAACAAATAATTATTTTGTTTGTTAATATGTAGATATACTACAATCTATTTTATTATAATTTTTATAATTTATTCTTTTTGATATTAGGACTTATTAGAAATATAAATAAGCTTACATTAATCCAAAACCTTTTGCGTTGCTCATCTCAAGTTAATTCGTTGTTTTTCACAGTAAGTTGATCCCACGATGGCTACGCTCGGCGTGCGTGCAGTCTTCTTTTCACTTAATGTTGTTTATTTTTTTTTTTTCTTTAATAATTTTTTTATTGCATACTATGTTGCACTAAATTGTTATTTAATTATTTGATAGTTTTTGTTAATTAGTTTTAGTTTTTTTTTTTTTAATTTTTAATGTTCTAATTTTTATATTTTATTGCGTTTCACGTCGCGCTAAATTTCTATTTATATTTTTTTTATTCACTTTAAAAATTTTTTTTTAATGCCTCAATATTACGTTATTACTTATATTACGTTGGGCGCCAGTTATTTGAAGTCGAATCGCGGAGCGTTTTTAAAATAAAACACGTTACCCTTTCGATTGAGAAGTATATCTGATCTTTATTAAAATTTGCTGGTGCGCTGCACTTACAAATTAATTTTATTATTTTACAGAATTTATAATTTTTATTTATTGTTTTAATATAATAGCAATGTCAGCTGCCCTTACAAATTATTTGGGCTTATTCTATAATTTAATTTATTGTTATTGATTAAGTACAATAACAATGCCAACACGCGCTTGCTTTGGGTTCTTTGCACCGAAATGAAATTCGCTATTGCGTAAACCGTTGCTGCAATAAAGCGACAATTTTAATTGTGCGCATGGACTGGGTCGCTGACATCGTTGTTACATATTAATGCTGACGCATGGTCAACACTGGTTAACTTGTGCAATATATACACTTGTTTAATCTGAATTATTTATATATACAATATTTACAATGTTTTAGACTTAACTACTAATATATACAATATTTACAAAGCTTTTGACTTAACCACTAATATTATATATACAATATTTACAATTTGTGGCTACATATCTTCTTCGTCCAGAACACCATCTAGAGCTTCTGCCAATATGTTTAAATGTCTAGTTTGTGGTACTGTGGTACTTTCGGCTAGATCTTTTGCAGTAAACATCATTGTAAGCTCTTGTATTTTACTAATAGCCTCCATAACGATGTTTTTGTTGATCATTTCATTTAAAGTAGCCACCACCTGCTCTCTAAGCCATTCATACTTCTTGTTTGACCTGCTTTTTACTTTATTCAAAAGTATTTCATAGTTGTTGTCCAAATTATTTTTCCTTTTTCTAGACTTTTGTGATGAACTAGGCATCTGAAATGAAATATAGCAATAGTACAAATATATAAATAATCAGATATACCCTTTCAAAAATGGCAATTTCCACTATGTTTTGGGGCATTAGATGGTAAGCACGTTGAATTTAATGCACGAGCATTAGATGGTTCTTATTACCGAAATTATAAAGGAAGAGATAGTATAATACTGTTGGCATTAAGAGATGCAAATTGTAAATTTATTTACATAGACGTCGGCGCTAACGGTAGAACAAACGATAGCTCAGTATTGAAAAATTCATCTCTTGAAAGTATATTGGATACTGCTGAAGCTCATTTCTCACAGATGAAGTAATAGGAAATAACAGATTGTTGCCATATGTTGCTGTGGGTAATGGCGCTTTTGATCTTTATACACACCTTATAAAACCATGTTTACACAGAACTAATATAGTGAAGAGGCAAATTTTTTAATAACGACTTTCAAGAGCTAGGCAAGTTGTAGAACGGTTATTTGGAATTCTGTCGTCCAGATTTAGAGTGTTTCAAAAACCGATAAATACGAAAAATGTGGATGCATGCTTTGTACTGCATAATTTTCTTATGGATAAATCCTTGCAGTACGCAAATTTTGAGTGTCCTTCAAATCCTCAAACATGCGAAGAAAGTTCCAATATTTATGCACCATTTGAGGGTGTTCGAACCGAATTTATGAAATATTTTAACAATGAATGAAAATTGCAATGGATGAAAGTGTGATTTATTAAAAATACAATTTACTTACTAAAACTGATTGAGTAGGAGTTACAAATTCATCCTCCTCCGCCTGGCTATATTAAAAAAGAAATTTGTAGTATATTAAACAATATTTGCATACATTTTGATTTAAATAAATATAATAGTTACTTAATATCTATTACTTTTTGATTTTTCAAACGAATGTCATTACTATAAAAAAATATTATTCATGAGCATATTTGTAAACAATGAAAAATATTAACAAATCTAAATAGTTAATAATGTAATGATATTTATAAAAGAAATAAATTGAAAAATTTATATTTATGGTATAATTATATTTATGTTATCATTTTTACTTATTATGTTCTGAATATACAATATAAAATCATATGCAAAAGCAACAATTTGTGAAATAGAAAAAGTCTACGTTCACTTCTTAATATTTAAATTTATCTGAATTCTGCTGAATATCCAAATCCAGATAGAAATTCTACTATGTACATAATGCATATAAATATACTTTTTATAATATAAGTTGTAAAAAAGCAAGAAACTCATAGATTCAAATAAAGGAATTTCTCCTGCTCTTTTTTCAACTGGCCCAACCTATAAATAAAAGAAAAAACTTTATAATATATATACAGATAGTAATTTATTATATTTCATAAATGAAACAATGCTTACAGCTTCCTCATAACTGGATGCTCTTTTTCTGATTGCCACTGATGGCCGGAGAAATTCCAGTAAATGGAATCACCACAACTTTGAAGTTCTCACATCTTCCAATCCAGCTCCACTTCGCTTGCCTGAGCTGATGATCCGTAGCTCTCTAAGGAACTGAGATCTAATACTTTGTATTTTTCTCTTCAATTCCATAAGAGTTAACACTGGGATGTTGGGTTTCATTAGCCCAATCACCGCGTTGAATGCTTGTTCCCGCGCCACTCTGTCTTGGTATTTGTCTTTTTTACTTCCCACAAGCATTCGTGCAGCTGGTACATGGTTACCAGCTTTTCAGTTACTTCTTTCTCCCAACGAAGTGCCATTCCACAAAAATAAGTAACAAGAAAACAAAGTATTCGCTGTGAAATAAATAATATTATATCGTTTTATAAAGTATTTTAATAGTACTTACAAAATTAAACGTCAGCGGCAAACCGGAAAATGTAGGAATTCGATTAATAATCGTGTAGCGGTAATTAAAACAGACTATGTAACTGTTTGCCTTAGTGCCTTAGCACTGTTTTGCGTTTTGCCTTAGTGCTGGGACATTCATAAGCCGGCTCTCATGCCGGAGTTGGAACGGCCGTGCCCGAGACACTCTGCATAACATGGCGCCAAGACAATAAACTCACAGATTCAAATAAAGGAATTTCTCCTGCTCTTTTTTCAACTGGCCCATCCTATAAAAAAAAAGAAAAAATTTTGTAATATATTTATAGATAGTAATTTATTATATTTCACAAATGAAACAATGCTTACAGCTTCCTCATAACTGGATGTTCTTTTTCTGATTGCCACTGATGGCCGGAGAAATTCCAGTAAATGGAAGCACCACAACTTTGGAGTTTTCACATCTTCCAATCCAGCTCCACTTCGCTTGCTTGAGCTGATGATCCGTAGCTCTCTAAGAAACTGAGATCTAATACTTTGTATTTTTCTCTTCAATTCCATAAGAGTTAACACTGGGATGTCGGGTTTCATTAGCCCAATCACCGCGTTGAATGCTTGATCCCGCGCCTCTCTATCATGGTATTTGTCTTTTTTACTTCCTGTCGTGGTCCTAATGGGTTGTAAAGCAAAGACATGGTGTGTAGTATATAAACACTTTATTGAATTTCTTGTGTAGACACTATTGCTTATGTATCTCTAATTGCTGTCGCTGTTTCTGCTGGCTCGTCCGTCGCTTTTGCAGTATGCCACTATTTGAGTGCGGTTGTTTTTGCTGTGGTTGTGGTTGTTGCTGATATTGAGACTTCTGTTGTCATCACTGTTGCTGCTGATGTTGTTGTTGCTGAAAATTATGTGGTTGCTGCACCTGCGTTGCATGTGTTGTTACCTCCGTCGTTGGTGCTCTAGTATGGGTGTGTATACTCTTGAGAAATTCAATTGTTGTAGTTGTTGCCTTTCAGTTTAGATTTTTCTTTAAATTATTCTTAATCTTTTGTTTACTGAATTCACGTAACTAAATTCAGACTACTGCACTTAGCCTATCAACTGTGTAATGGGCTCAGAAACTTATGTCACTTGCAATTTCTATTAGCTTTTATTATTAACAATTATTTTAGTGAGTTTGTTTGTTTCGATGCTTGCATTTTGATTTCACCGTAGTTGGCTCAGACACTTATGTCACTTGCAATTTCTATTAGCTTTTATTATTAACAATTATTTTAGTGAGTTTGTTTATTTCGATGCTTGCATTTTTATTTCACCGTTCCTTATTTTGATGTTTTACTGCACTGGCACTTTATTAGTTTTTCTCCGAGTCGATTTTAAAAGCACGGTGATCCCGACATGTCTCAACTAAGTTAAACGAGCGACTGCTAGTCAAAAGTTTCTGTACTTTTGCGTTAGCTTCCAAAGTAGCGTGTTTGCTGGTCACGTTTTGTAGTGTCAGCGCATTCCACGCTCGCGTTGCGGGATTTTGCCTTCTGCATAGTCTTATGCTACCGCATCGTAACATGAGACTTAATGCCAAGGCTATATTTGCATACTTATTTAATAACGGCCAAACCGTTTTTTCCACACCCTATCGTGCACGTAACCACAAAATCCCTTCCCCCTTGCAGAGGAGCGTTGACGCTCTTCGAAGGACTTCCTCGTCATTGGTGACATAGCAAAAGCATACGACAGCATATATAATACAGTTTACATTGAATTTCCAAAATCATAACAATAATATTCGTTACATATAAAACATTTCACTTTACAATTTAAATTATTTCATATATAATTCCAATGTATTTCAATGTATTTATCTAGCGTAATGTATAATGAATTACTTATTTTTTGTTTAATACTATATTTATTATAATTTTTTTTTTTTACAGATATAAATTTCTAAGTATATATTTTTGTTTTGTTTTTTTTTTGTTTAAAGAATTTGACTTTACATAGTCTTAAAATATTGCACATTCTAATTGTATTTGTTATTTTATATTATTTTAGCATAATTTTGAATATTATTAATTATCTTCTTATATATATTTTTTTTTCTATATAATTGAATTTTCTTATATATATAAAATTATAAGTATATATTTTTGTTTTTTTTTTTTTTAAAAGAATTTGATTTTACATAGTTTTAAAATAGTTAACTAATGCACATGTTGTTTACTTTAATTTATACTTCATATGATATATAGGTATATTGCTCTTAAAATATTATCATGCATTTAATTATTAAACAAAGCTTCGTTTAGTAATCTCTTGCCGTAACAATACTGTAACAGCCTTGGTACCTATGTTCGGAAGTATTTTTTACTACTGACCTACTTGTGCATATATGCATTTGCAATACCTAACATGTACATATTTATTACTAGTTCTTATATTAAGGTATTGGCCGCATTCTTTGATATCAGCTTTGTACAGGGCGTCCCCTTACAGTCGCTTATCTGTAGATCTATAATAACGAAAAAAACGTATAAAATTTTAAGTTTGTGTTCTTATTTAATAATATCTCAATTAATGGCTTTAACCAAATACAATGACATTTCGGCAGCCATCCGTAACTCGCTTAGTTTCAAATTGGTTTCTATAATAAAAGAAAAAGAACAATATAATCTTTATATTTCCATGATTACCAATTCAATCTCC